GGGGCCAGTGCTCTTCAATATCTTCATAAATGATCTAGATGAGGGGAACTCATCACATTTTCACATGACACCAAGCTGGAGGGAAGACAGACACTTTGGAAGATAGATTCAAGAGCCAGAAAATGCAATAAAATGCAGTTCAGTGGTGAGAAAAGAAAAGTCCTCCACTTAGGCAGGAAAAACCAAATTCTATGGGAATAGAACACCTGGCTGAACAATAGAGGGATCTAGGAGTCCTTGTGGTCCACCACAAGTACAGTATGAGTCAGAAGTGTGCCACAAAAAAAGCCAGTGCAATCCTAAACTGCATCAACAGAGGGATAGCATCGAGATCATGTGAAGTATTAGTACCACTATATGTACACTGTCTTGGTGAGACCACCCTCGGAAGTTTTGGTTGTCGTGATTTAAAAAAGATGCTGAAACCCTAGAAAGTATGCAGAGAAGAAAGATGGTAAGAGGTCTGGAGATTAAACTGTATCGTGAATGCTTAAGGGAACTAGGTAGGTCCAGCCCAATGAAAAGAAGGATTAGGTGTGACGTAATACTTGTCTTCCAGTACTAGAGGGGCAGTCACAGAGAGGGTTGACTTGTTCTCCAAAGCACCTGAGAGCAGGACAAGAAGCAACAGGTGGAAGCTCATAAAAAGAGAGATCCTACCTAGAACTAAAGATAAATTTCCTAACAGTGAGAGCAACTAGCAATGGAACAGCTTGCCTCCCAGAGTTGTGAGTGATCCATCGCTGGAGGTTTTCAAGAAAAGGTTGGACATTCATTTGGGATGATATAAAAAGATTCCACTCTTGGGTAGAAGACCTCCAAGATCTCTTCCAGCCCCATGATTCTATGAACAAGGAGGAACTGTGAGATGTCCACTGTTGCTGTCTAGGTGGCAACTGTGGGTGACCCTATTCAAAGACCTCATTCCACCATTTTCTTTTAAAGCCAGTCTTCGATTGGACAGCCTGTCCCAAAGAAGGGATCTTTAAACACCCATGACATCTCCTTCATTGTGTGCTATTCTTGGTAGAATAAGCTCCACGGCACCATTGCTGTCACCTCCTGTTTAGCTCTGGAGCAGTGTTCCACATCCTTAGCAATTTCAAGATATGTGGACTTCAACTCCCAGAGTGCTGTTTGGGGAATTGTGGGTGTTGAAGTCCACATACAGTATCTTAAGGGTGTCAAGGTTGAGAAACACTGATCATAAGAACAGAATTGCAAGTCCCAGTGATCAATGGTGCCACCGTGTTTTTTTTAAGAAAGAAGAAAAGAAAAGGGAACGGAAATGACAATGGAGGACTCTTGTGAATGCCCATTAAAGGCCACATGGGGAAGCACATGCTCACTCAGCTCTAGAAGTAAGTAACTTGTTATAATACATACAGCACCACAAATCACTGGAGGGAGGGATGAGGTGGGGAATAAAGGATTTCATTGCACAAGTGGGAGGAACACAGACATGAAGTTACCTTAAAGCTGGATGCAAATACACAGAGGGGCTTAACTGAAAATTGTGCCTGGAAGCAAAGAGCAAAATGAAAGAGAAGGGGACAAAACAATCAAATAATGAGACTGCATGCAAGAAAGCTGGATGTCAAAATGCAGCAGAGCCAAACAAAACAAAACATCAAACAATTTTCATGGGAATGAGACACAGAGCCTAGAGTTTAGATAAACATCTATGGAGATTCTCAGTCATTCAGGTCATAGCTGTCCCAAAGGTTCTTTTTTAAAAGGCAGCTGGACTTTGTTTTTCCTTGAAAAGAATTGATTATAACTCTTTCCATTCCCCACCATTCAGTCAGAACGGAAGATGCTTCTTGGATGAGAAGCAAAATGTCTTCAAGGAAAAACAAAGTCCAGTTGCCTTTTGAGAATTTAGACAGCACTTTGGAATAATGGGAAGACCAAAAAAATAATTCCTTCAAAGAGGCAAAATTAATTCCTGAAATTTGCTGCTTGCCACTGGCTGAGGTTGATTTATTTTGGCTTGACTCACTTATATTCCCTCTTTCTTTCAGACGCTCAAAGTAGTGTATATTACTTGTATTTTTCCACAACAATAACATTCTAAGGTAGATTGGGTTGAAAGTGGAGGTCCTCAAAGCTTTCATGGCTGTAGGTGGATTAGAACTTGGCTTTTCATGCTCCTAGACCAGGGGTGTCAAACTGGTGGCCCAGGGGTCGGAAATGCCACATGCAGGCCACACCCACCCCAGCTCCGCGAATGGGAAAAACGTTGCAAAACATCACGTGACAGCATCATGACATCACGAGTTTGATACCCTATTACTAGACTAACATCTTAACTGTTACTTAGAACCCTGTGAGTTTTGGAGGGCTTATTCATTATGATGAGTAAATGGAGTTTCCAGGATTAGCAGCTGTAGTTGCATTTCTGATAAGATAAACCATGATTATTTAAACCATAATTTACTAAAGAAGCACCAATTAGGCTGATTATTACAAAGTATCAAGTCAAATAGGTAGAAAATACATAAAACTCCATTTGTTGTTAAACTACAATTCCCAGCACTCCTCACCATTAATAATGCTGGATGAGTCTGCTTGGAACTGTAGTTCAGCAACATCAGAGGGCTGCACATTCCATTCATCGTTAATTTCACATGGTTGGGAATTTAAAAGGGAAATCTTACTTATAATGGAGATTAGTCTTCATAAAATATGTGGATCCCAGATATGCTAGAACCCTTCTGAATACCATAAAACCTGCTTGTGAGGAAACTGAATCATAGAGGAAGTTGGCTAAGTATATAAATCGGAACAGAAAACTTATCCTTTCTTTGATTTCTTCTCCAGGGAATATGATTTTAAATTGCTTTTATATCTTGAAAACAAGGTATTGGTTTTCAGGGAAATTCTGATTTGTCACTTGTATCAAAGAATATGACCTCAGTTGTCTAAACTCTCAATGCAAAATTTAAAATAGTGTTAAGCCTAAAAGGCACAATCTGACAGGGAATTATGTGAATTAAAATCCAATGCATCTGGAAAGATTGCTTTAAGCAATCTAAGGAGAGGAAAAAAGAGTACTTTTTTCATGCTGTCTAATTAAACAAATTGTGAAAATTGGAAAGCTTTTCTAATTACTTCTTCTCTTCATTTCCTGTTAGAGGTACATGAAAGCTATCATCCATCTTCCAACTAGCAACAAATGTTAATTTTCACATACTTCAAAGCCTCTTCAACCCAAATTGGATTGGGGAGGGGGAGGCAGGGAAGTTCAACTGGGGATTTGAAAACAAATAAACTTAGTTCATATTATTCACATTACTAGAATTCTATTAAAAAGAGACTCAAGGCAATTTTAGCTCGGTCTGCCTTGAACATTTGGGTGGAACAATAGAGCTGTAACTATCACTCTAATGGTTCCTCAAAGCCATCATCCCTCTGCAGACCTCCTATTGTAGTCCGAAGAAAGTTGTCCTTTCTTCTTGATCACTTTGGAGGCCTTTAATACTTTCCCAGTGTGCCACTGATCCACTCATTTTAATAATTCTGCCATTACTGAATCCATGGGTGTTATTTATATTGTTGCCCTCTTACCATAAAACTTAGAGTGATGCATCTTTAAAACAGATTTTTTTTGGTGTGTGTGTGTGTGTCTTCTAGGAAACTACTTTATGCTTATAACTCTCTCCAAGAAAAAAAATACTTGCCTATTTTCTCTTCATTATTCGTTGAGACTTTTTCTGCTTAGCTCTTAATACTGCTTGGAAATCCACATCACACTTCCATATTTTGCTCTTGCCAAAACAGAAGTGACAGGAACCTCTGCTTTAATCCCTTGTTTGTTTTCAGAATGAAATCTAATTAAACAAACTGGGCTATTTGTTTTTATCCTTTTATTATTCTTGGTTTCCTTCACTAACTTTTCTTCACCACCACCCAAGTTTAAATTATAAACACGGAGCAGCAGAAACAGGTCTTGGGTTATTATTTCAGACCTCATATGTTGATAGTGTTGTGTAGGTAACTGTATAATACAATAATGGCAACTATTCTTTGAAAAATCTCTTCCACTTTTAAACAAATCTTTCTTTTCAGACTGTTCCTGGATGCTTAACTTCCTTAGCTCTGCTTAGCTCTTGCCCTGCTCTGCAGAGAAATGTTTGGTAATACATTTGTATATATGCAATGTTGGCTGAGAAATTCTGGGAGTTGAAGTCCACATGTCTTAAAAATGCCAAATTTGAGAAACACTGCCCTAGAATAGCAGAAAACACATCTGTGCTTCCTCCACATAACAGTCATTTTATTACATGATGAAGGTCTTTTTCATTTCAACCATTTTTTATAAAAACAATAAATAAATCCTGAATCTAGGATGAAGTTAGAGGGCTTTGTTTTGTTTTGTTTTTATCCTTGGACAAATTGCTAAATAATGGCTTGGCTGCAAAGATGGCTTTTATCATGGGTCTATTTCCAGTATGCACCAAAAAATATTTACCATAAATTAAATTGACAAGTGACGTCTTTACCTTTTTTTTACTGAAGGTGTTCAACAAAATTAATTACAAGTTGGACAGGATTTGTTCTGAATGGCAGCAAACTCTAATATTGTTTTATTTCCTTTTTTCATTTCTAAAGAATGTTAAATTAATGCTATGGCTGTCTGCTTTCCTAGAAATATGAGCCATTATTTAAAGAGAAGATTGCTATTCCCCACTATATTAATATGCAGTTCTGATAGAAGAGAATATCTATAGCCTGGGGTTCAACTATGGGACCTTGATGCTCTTAGTTTTTTCTTGCAGACGTCTCATTCCCAAACTAGGTAACACCATCAGTGCTAGGTATGCAATTTCTGATCTTTTGGGACTTGGTGTCAGCACCAAATTTAGCTTCATTTCTTCTTCCTTTATCATGTCTAACTTGAACATGCAAGTGCTGATAAATTGTGCTATGAACATGCAAGAAATTGACATGTTTAACTTGAAAATGCAAGTATTAAGAATGGGTATAAAATCACATACATTAGTAAGTCCCCTGGAGCTGACATAGACCGTTCTTCTCGCCTCGTTTGGGTCTCATATGGGTTGGCAAATGATCGTTTCCTCAGCATGGCCTTCACTAAAATCTTGAAAGTATGAAGAAAGAGAAGAATCAGAAGTGATGCAGCTGAAAAAATGATGTCACTTTGAATCATTTTAGCCTGGATTTTTACTCCTGCAAATTACTTCAAACTGGTTGAAATTGCTTCAAATTACTCAAAACGAAAGTTATAAACTGCTCCTTTGATTTCACCTTAAAACAAGGCTTGGTTTAAACCTAGTCTATCCAAAAACAATGACTATCAGGGAGCTACATTACAGGTAGTCCTTGACTTACAACAGTTCATTTAGTGACCGTACAAAGTTGCAATGGCACTGAAAAAAGTGACCTATTACTGTTTTTCACAGTTACAACCTTTGCAGGATCCCCATCACCATGTGAACCAAATTCAGATGCTTGGCAACTGGTTCATACTTATGACTGTTGCAGCCCCCTGGAGTCATGTAATCCCCTTTTGCGACCTTCTGACAAGTAAAATCAATGGGGAAGCCAGATTCACTTAACAATCATGTTAAAGAAAACTGCAGGGATTCACTTAACAACTGTGGCAAGAAAAGTCCTAAAATGGGGTAAAACTCAACAAATTTCTCACTTAGCAACATAAATACTGGGCTCAATTCAGGGGTGGGCTGCTAGGGGTCCGCAGGGGTTGGGGAGAGCCCCCAGCTAAGATTCTGTGCAGTTCAGAGAACCCCCAAATGCCACTCCTGGATGGCCTCACCCACCCCTCCCCTCCCAGGAGTCCCCACAAGGCCCGTTTTGGATGTAGGTAAGTGCAGGGCATAGGCGGAGACTCGGGTGAAAAATGGGCCTCCTGGAAGTTCGGGAAGGCCGGAAGCGGGCCCATTTCCGGCTTCCAGAGAGCCAGAAACAAACAAGGAGATTTAACCTGGAAATAAGGAGAAACTCTCTGACAGTGAGAACAATCAATCCATGGAACAGCTTTCCCTCAGAAGTTGTGGGAGCGCCATCACTTGACACTTTCAAGAGATTGGACTGCCATTTATCAGAAATGGTGTAGTAGGGTCTCCCGCTTGGACGGGGGTTGGACTAGATGACCTATAAGGTCCCTTCCAACTCTAATTATCTGTTATCTGAGCCTCCGTAGCCCAGGGAGGCTGTTTTCGCTCTCCCAGAGGCTTGAGGAAGCCTCTGGAGCCGCTGGAGCCTGAGGAGAGCAAAAACGCCCTTCCCACCGTGGTGCAGGAGGCCGACTAGGCCACGCCCACCCAGCAACTGGGCAGAAACCCCTTGCTAAAATTTTTGAAGCCCACCCCTGGCTCAATTGTGGTTGTAATTTGAGGACAGCCTGTATTCCAAACTGACTTTGAGCAAAAGGAAGATAAACTAACCCACCTAGCTCTGTGCTGCGCTCCATCAACTACAAATACAAAGAGTGAGAAGAGAAACTTTTAATAGTGCAACTACCGGTATTAATACTTACCACTGCAGGTAAACTAGGAATTGTCTTGACTGAGTTCTTCACTTCTTCTTCAGTTACTTCTACTATGGTGCAATGGTCTTCCTCTAAAGGAAGAGGGTGCTTGCCATACTTTGTGACCCATGGATGTTCCTGCATAGAAACATAACCAGAATGCATGATGACTCATCAGCTCTCCTTCAGATGACTCTTTCTTTGTACAGAATTAATGAAAGGTTGTAGCCAGCTTGTATTTGGATATAGCCCTAAGAAATAGCTGCTGCGGTTTAAAAAGAACACAAAACCTTCCAGGCAAAGTTATCCATCCTTTGAAAGGCAAGGTAATATATTAAACAAAAAACAAAAACACCAGTCCAAGATGTCAGCCACAGTTGTCTGTGAAATTTCAGGAAATCTGATGTCATCCAAACCCTGAAGCCCAATACTTCCCAGCAGAAACTGGCTATGAAAGCCTACATCAAAACAAAACAAAACTTCATGAAGAGTTCTGGAATTGTCCCGCTGTTTTACACTTGCATACTTTTGCATCAGGCTTGGAAAAAACCAGCCAGGGACACATCTCTCACAAACTTCCATTTGTTGCTCTGGGATCTCTCTGGGATCATAGCCCACTCTTTGAAAAAACTACTTTTAAACAAACCAGAATTATGGCTCCAAGGGGGGTACACCTGAATCTACAAAAGACAGGCTTGTCAAAAATCAACCAATAAATTCATGGCTGAGCTTGATTATGTTAGTCCATTTAACTGGATGTTGATTAGAAAGGACAGAATGGAAAAAGAAATAAGAGAGGGCAATTCTTAGACTTTTATTTAAAGGAGCCATAAAATCACCTGTTAATATAAGGTGGTAATTGTCATTCTTCTTGTTCTAGCAAATGGCTTAGAATAGCAAAGCTTTCAGGGCAAAGCAATAGACGCAATCTACATAGACTTCTGTAAAGCCTTTGATTCAGTGGTACACGACAAACTACTCCTAGAACTAAAATCTTACGGTATCTCTGGACATCTACATAACAGGATAGAAGCATTCCTGTCAAACAGACAACAAATGGTCAAAATTGGGAGCGTCCTATCAAATTCTGTACCTGTCAATAGTGGTGTCCCCCAAGACAGTGTTTTAGGACCAACTCTCTTCATACTCTACATAAATGACCTCTGTGATCATATTAAGAGCAACTGAGTTCTCTTCGCTGATGATGTAAAGCTATTCAACACCACAGATAATACTACTACCCTCCAAAAAGACCTTGACTATGTATCAGAATGGTCAATCAAATGGCAACTTCAAATCTCAACAAATAAATGCTCTGTCTTACATATTGGCAGAAAAAAACCAGAAAATAAAATACAGGCTAAATAGTCAAGACCTTGCTGAGGATCCAAACTTTGTCAAGGACCTTGGAATGCTCATCTCTAATGATCTAAGTGCTAGAGCCCACTGTAACTACATAGCCAAAAAGGCATTAAGAGTTGTTAATCTAATCCCATGTAGCTTCTTCTCTGGTAATATCACACTACTAACTAGAGCATACAAAACATTTGCTTGACCTATACTTGAATACAGCTCATCAGTCTGGAACCCATATCATGTATCTGATATTAACACAATTGAAAAAGTCCAGAAATATTTCACAAGAAGAGTTCTCCACTTCACTACTCATTGCAGAATACCTTATGCCACCAGACTCGAAATTCTAGACCTAGAAAACCTAGAACTACGCCGCCTTCGGTCCGATCTTAGTGTATAAAATCATACATGGCAATGTCCTACCTGTCAATGAATACTTCAGCTTCAATCATAACAATACAAGAGCACACAATAGATACAAACTCAAGGTTAACCGCACCAAACCTGACTGCAGAAAATACGACTTCAGCAAGAGAGTGGTTAATGTTTGGAATACTCTACCTGACTCTGTGGTTTCTTCCCCAAACCCCAAAAACTTTAACCTTAGACTGTCTACTATTGACCTCACCCCTTTCCTAAGAGGTCTGTAGGGGGCGTGCATAAGTGCACCAATCGTGCCTACTGTCCCTCTCCTATTGTTTTTTATTTTTCTTATAAGTATCTATCTCATGTATTCAAAACTATATTTATTCTTATACCTGTATCTTGTAAGTGATTGACAAATCAAATAAATACTAATATACTTTCAAGTTTTAACACATTATTACTCTCTAAACAACTATGATGAGAACTATGAAGCAGAATCCAGATCCTTTTTTTTTTTTTTAATTTGATGAGATGATTATTTCAGGTTAGCAGTTCAGTAATAATTACTTTTAGCAAGTTTGTCTGAATTTCTAAAGACTGCATTTCCATGCACAAATTATCTTTTGTTAAAGCTCACTCCATTTTGAAAGCTGATCTTAAGCAATCAGAAGAGAGCATGGTTTAATTTGTAGGACTGAATTGTGCTGATCTGTAATACAGGTAGTCCTTCACTTATAACCATTCATTTAGTGACTGTTCGAAGTTACGACGACACTGAAAAAAGGGATTTATGACAGTTTTTCAAACTTACGACCATCGCAACAACCCCATGGTCACATGATCAAAATTCAGATAGTAATTGGTTCAAATATATGGCGGTTGCAGTGTCCGGAGGTCATGTGATTACCTTTTGCAACTTTCTGATAAGCAAAGTCAATGAGGAAGCCAGATTCACTTCACAACTGTAGAAATTCATTTAACAACTGTGGCAAGAAAGATCATAACATGGGGCAATGCTCACTTAACTGTCTTGCTTAGCCACATAAATTTTAGGCTCAATTGTGGTCGTAAGTCGAGGACTACCTGCATGTGGATCAGAGGTGTTGTTCAGCAGGTTCTGACCAGCTCTGGAGAACCGGTAGGGGAAATTTTTAGTAGTTCGGAGAACAGGCAAATGCTACCTCTGACTGGCCCCGCCCCCATCTATTCTCTGCCTCCCGAGTTCCAGCTGATTGGCTGGGTCTTCTTTGGTTGCCCTGCACAGGAGAATGGAGCTGGAAAGCAGGTTAGTGGGGTGGGAAGAGAATGGGGATTTTACAGTATCCTTCCCCTGCCATGCCCACAAAGCCATGCCACGCCCACCAAGCCACACCCACAGAAGCAGTAGTAAAAATATTTGAATCTCACCACTGATGTGGATGCTATGTGCTATGGCTTTTAGTAGCACATACACATGCAGAGTTACTATATAAACCCTTACATTTACATTTCAAAGTTTAATATGCTGTTCTCCAATATTCTCTAGATGTGTTGAATTACAGCTCCTAAAATTCTCAGCAGCTGGAAATTCTCGGAGTTATTTTACCCTAGGAAATTTTAGTCTAGCACATCTTGTACACACCAGATTGGGGAAAGCTAGTTTAGCAGCACATAACTGATAAGAATACTATATGAGACCCATCTATTTAATGACTGTGAAAGGGAATAGCTCAGAGGAAGCAACATTTTCAGCTATCCACTAAAGCTCATAATTACTTACTTTAATTTCAGGAACAGTTATCCTTAATTCAGGGTTCTTTTCCAGCATCTTCAGAATCAGATCTTTTAGTTCCTCACTGGTCTTGATCCTTGTGGAAGCAAATACAAAATATTTGTTTAGGATAGTTTTTTTTTTAACCTTAGCATCTTTTAAAATATGTGGGCTTCAACTCCCAGTTATAAACCACAGCTTATCAACCTTACTCCTTGTCCAAGCACCACTGTTTACATTTCAAAATCCTATAGTAGATGAGGCTTTGCATCAGAGGTGGTATTCAGCAGGTTCTAACTAGTTCTGGAGAACCAGTAGCGGAAATTTTGAGTAGTTCAGCAAACCAGCAAATAGTTCAGAGAACCAGCACCTCTGACTGCCCCCCCATCTATTCTCTGCCTCCCGAGCCCCAACTTATTGGTTGGGTCTTCTTTGGTTGTGCTGCACAGGAGAACGGAGCTGGAAAGCAGGTTAGTGGAATGGGGAGGGAATGGGATTTTGCAGTAACCTTCCCCTGCCATGCCCACCAAGCCATACCACCCACAGAATCGATAGTAAAAAAATGTGAATCCCACCAATGCTTTGCATGTAATCTCTTCCCCTCCCCACATCTTGCCATTTCAACTGGAGTGGAACATGAACCAGCTTGTTTTCCAACAGGTGCGGAATTCTAATACAGGTAGTCCTTGATTTACGACAAGTAAGCCCAAAATTTCTGTTGCTAAGTCTGACAGCTGTTGTGAATTTTGCCCGTTAACCTTTCTTGCCACAGTTATTAAGTGAATCATTGCAGTTGTTAAGTTAGTATCATAGTTGTTAAGTGAATCTGGCTTCCCCATTGACTTTGCTGGTCAGAAGCTTGCAAAAGGTGATCAGATGACCCCAGGACAGTACAACTCGTCATAAATGCATGCCGGTTGCCAAGCATCTGAATTCTGATCATGTGGCCATGGGGGGGGGGTTGTAAGTGTGATGGCCGTAAGTCACTTGTTTCAGTTCTGTTATAACTTTGAACGGTCACTAAATGAACTGTTGCAAGTTGAGGACTACCGGTATGAGTATATTCTTCCCTAAAAAAAGACAAAAATGGGTTGAGGTATCCCCTCAAAAGCCGCGGTGGCACAGTGGATAGAACGCAGATTAGAGTGCCTTACTGCAGGCTACTTCTGCTGACTGCTGGCTGACTGCAATTAGGCAGTTCGAATCTCACTAGGCTCAAGGTTTACTCAGCCTTCCATCCTTCCGAGGTGGCTAAAATGAGGACCCAGATTGTTGGGGGCAATAGGCTGACTCTGTAAACTGCTTAGAGAGGGCTGTAAAGCAGTGTGAAGTGGTATATAAGTCTAAGTGTTATTGCTTACATAGGAAAGGACCAGTGGTGGGATTCAATTTTTTTTTACTACTGGTTCTGTGGGCGTGGCTTGGTGGGCGTGGCTTGGTGGGCATGGCAGGAGAAGGTTACTGCAAAATCCCATTCCCTACCACCCTACTAACCTGCTTTCCAGCTCCATTCTCCTGAGCAGGGCAACCAAAGAAGACCCAGCCGATCAGCTGGGACTTGGGAGGCAGAGAATAGATGGGGGCGGAGCCAGTCAGAGGTGGTATTTGCCGGTCCTCCAAACTACCCAACATTTCTGCTACCGGTTCTCCAGAACTGGTCAGAACCTTCTGAATACCATCTCTGGAAAGGACTCTCCCAAACAGCTTTCTGCCGTCCCCATCCCACCCCAAAAGTGACTAGGAATTATGAAAGTTGTAGTCCAACATATCTGGTCCACAACACCAGGCTGGGAAAGGCTGCTTCAATTAACCAATAACAGAACGTAGAAATCCAGGAAGTGAGCCAGCAAGAGAGAGTAGCAAGGCAGAGATGTAGCAGCTGGTCAAGGATCTTCCAATATTCCATCTCTGCCAGTAAAGGCCAAACTGATGTCAGGAATGGAATCTTCTCCCACTTTTTGCGGATTCACTAGACGGACTCTGTTACTATTTAGGGTTTTCTCCCCCCCCGCCCCCCGGAAACTAGGAGTCTTGTGTCTTTTCCCCTCCCAAAATTAGGTTCAGAAATTTTGCCAGACTCATTATGTCCCTAGTAACTGATTGTGTTGTTGTAATCCTTTATTATTTTATCATAACCACTTTGAAAGCGGCTGTTATTGCGCAAAAAAAAAACCCAGCCCATAAATTTAAGCATAAACATGGATGAGTTCCTCTAGCGCTCTGTTGTTTATCAAAGATAACTGGGCAGAGGGAAGGAAGGGGGAGGTGATGGAAGAATGAAGAACATGACCCTATTTGTGGGCGATATTTCTATAAACCAGGAATCCAAAGCTACTGAATTCTGCTGATGGTTTCTATTTGAGCTGGCTTCAGTTCAGACATCAATCATGGCTTGCATTGAGCTAAGTAAGCTTTTTGATTTGGGGGTTTGTAGTTATGCATCTGTAAGGTTGTCGATCTGTAAGGCTGGAGCCCCAGGTAGAAACATGCTATGGACAGAACTTACTGGATCCAATTGGAGTTCTAAGGGCACATCTTAGATATTAGCAGTGCCAAATGGGAGTTTTATTTTGGTTCCTTTGTTCTAAGATATCCCCCAATCCAATGATGATTTTTGTAATTCAATTAGGATTATTATGTGCTACCCGAACCATCAGACAACTAAGACAACAGATTGGTTACACATATTAATGGAACTGGCAAGCTATATTTTTACAAAACCAGAGCTAGTTTAGTCTAGAGGTTAAGGCACCAGGTTAGAAAGCAGGAGACCATGAGTACAAGTTCTGCTTTAACCATGAGAGCCAGCTACTTAGTCATTTTCTTTTTAGCCTAACCCATCTCACAGGATTATTGTTGTGGGAAAAATAGGAAGAAACTGTATTGGATATATTGAAAACTGAGTTATTTGTAAAAATAACAAAGATGGGATATACAGTAAATTAATAAACACTTAACCCAATCCATTAAGGACCTAATGGCTGCATCCACATACCATGCTAAGCTTTGTTGGTTTTAATTTTGTTTGGTTAGTTATTTATTGACTCATTGATAGTGGCTTAGTGTGTTATGAGTTTTCTGAGGCTAGCCTAGGACTTTATTTCTGTTCCACTCGCTAGATAGGAAGAATATACTTCCACCAATTATCTTGGCTAGTCTACAGGACATAAGTGACCTGGGAGAATTTATTTGAACTCTGCCTCATGATAGGATAACCTTGATCCAATTAAGCCAAAAAGTTCAATCATTGGTTCATCTACTGCCAGATCATTAAAATGTCTCTCCAAGGTTTCCTCTGATCTTCTTCTAGGCAAACACATTCTCTGTCGCTGAGCTAAAGCATACACAGAGATTAGCATGGTAAGACAGGCTGATCTATGCAGTTGCATAGAATTTAGGTGATATAAAAGAGCAGGAATGCTTAGCTTTACAACATATTTTGTTATATTTTGCAGCTAAGGGGGAGAAATGCTTATGAGATTCTAAGTCTCATGTACTAAAAATATTTTGATCAGCTTCCTTGGGGTAGAAGATTATCAAACAGGATTACTTTTTGAGCCAAATTGTTAACGTTTTAAGAATAACAGAGTTGGAACGGATCTCAGAGATCCTCTAGTCCAACCCCTGCTCCAGCAGGAGCCCCTATACCATTCTGGACAAATCGTTGTCCAATCTCTTCTTGAAAATCTCCACCGAGGGAGCACTCACAACTTCTGAAAAAAAGCCATGCCAGTCCGGAAACTTCTCCTTATGTGTAAGTTGGATTTCTCCTTGATAATTTCCCACCTACTGCTTCTCCCTCTCCTTCCCCCTCCCTCCCTCCCCCCACTCTGTCTCTTGTATGGATTGAGTAGAAAGTGATATGATAACAGATAATCAGAGTTGGAAGGGACCTTATAGGTCATCTAGTCCAATCCCCCCCCCCCCGCCAAGCGAGAGACCCTACACCATTTCTGACAAATGGCAGTCCAATCTCTTCTTGAAAGCCTCCAGTGATGGCACTCCCACAACTTCTGAGGGCAAGCTGTTCCTTTGGTTGATTGTTCTCACTGTCAGAAAGTTTCTCCTTATTTCCAGGTTAAATCTCTCCTTGTTCAGTTTCCATCCATTATTCCTTGTCTGGCCTATAGGCGCTTTAGAAAATAGCTTGACCCCTTCCTCTCTGTGGCAGCCCCTTAAATATTTGAAGGCTGCTATCTTGTATCCCCTGGTCCTTCTCTTTACTAGACTAGCCAAGTCCAGTTCCTGTAACCGTTCTTCATATGCCTTAGTCTCCAGTCCCCTAATCATCGTGGTTGCTCTTCTCTGCACTTTTTCTAGAGTCTCAACATCTTTTTTATAATGTGGTGACCAAAACTGGATGCAGTACTCTAGGTGTTGTCTTACTAAGGCTTTATAGAGTGGTATTAGTACCTCACGTGACATGCTTTGTCACCATGGCAAAACATTTCCAACTTCCAAACAGCACCAAGTCCATAGAAAATCTGAGGTGCAACCAATTCTGTGGCTTCTTAATTTAAGGTTCTCTTTCCTCCATCATTTTTCTAGTTCTTTCTTACTTAATTGGCTTCATTTAAATACAGAATCCGTAGACTATCCCCTTTGTCTTTCTAGTACATTAATGAGCAAAAAAACCTTTTAGGAAAGACTAGATCACAGAGTGGTAGGTATGTCACACAGCGAGAGTTAATGCTGCAGGAGATAGTGAAGAGAAGGACAAGGTTCATCAGTGGAAAAAAAAATACAATCAGCTCATTAAAACTTAAATCTCTTGTTATGGAGGCAGATAAGAAGTGGCACTCAGAAGCTGACTAATAAACCCAAATATGTGATAGTGTGGGGAGAAGGTGGGCAAAATGCCTAAAATATGGTAAATGGCAAACTTGATGCTGGAGAAGCCTACACATTATTTCCCCCCTACATTTGAGAACTCCTTAATTATCCATGTTTAGGTGCTCTTATTTATGGAATTCTACCTACGCACAGTATGGACCTACTATCTCTTTGGAGAAGTCCACAGTGCTGACAAAGATGGATGGAAAGAGAAAAAGAGGATGACCAGTAACAAGTGGTTGGATTCAGTCACCTATTTATCAG